TAATCTAATCAAGCAATTCCACAAGACATAAAGCCTCATAATGAGTACTTGCATCTGAACGATCAGGAAAAAGACAACTATGCAACCAACCAGCCACTGTGTGACAGTGGCATCACCATGCTTGTGGAGTGTGCAAAGTATGTCAGCAGATGGAAGCACTGCGCTTTCTTTTTCTGGAACTGAACTTGTCTTAGCGGAGAGACATCACAAGTTCCTATACACATAAAAAGAGTCACTTTCAAATGAATGATTCTCTCAACTGCACCCTCTCAGATCCAAAAGGAAAAGCACTCTAGGGCAAGCATCCAGATTTTTCAATCACATTTTGTTTCTTAAAAATAGATATGTCCTGTAGGAGACATATGTCTCCTTCTTTAAGCTTGGAGACTGTTGCTACACAACAGGACCTTTAGCAAGAAAAAAATGTCCTCTTGAAGGAGTGTCTCTCTCTCTCTCTCTCTCTTCCCATAATTTCTGGCTCCTAGTAAAAGTGCCACATCCTTTAAGATTCACCCACCTCTTCACCTAACTGTATATGTGTCATTAGGCTTTTTCATTCTGTTAACTTTGAGCCAGATTATAGGAATCTTGAAGCCAAAGTTATTTCCTAAGTCAAAGTTTACACTTTGACTTATTATTTGAAAAATTAAAATAAAATATGAAAATGTTTTATATTTCAAAATGGAATAATCTTAAAATTTGTGTTCTAGCCATAAAATAATGAACAATGTAAGATGCCTCCCTTCAAGGCCTATGTTGTCACCTAAACTGAATGGATCCATGGCTTGGAGGCATGGGAAAAGGAAATATTATTCCTACAGCATTCTGCTTTCCCCCAAGCTGTAGCTAGGACTGATCTGCACATGGAAAGAAGGAAGCTAAATGGAAATAAGGAGACTGCAAAGCTTCCTTCCCTACTAAAGAACTACTCCTAAAGGATGATTGGGCAGTAGCCAGCAGTTAAGGCCCTGGAAACTCAGTTCCCAAAATTGTCAATTAGAGAATTGTACTGGGTAACAGGATGTTTGGAACTTACAGTTACAGAAGCTCCATGAATAAATAAAACAACTAATTTGATACGACTAATTTGATTCCACTGAATCAGTTATTTCTCTTGAGTCAGAGGCACAAGGGAGAGGCAGAGAAAGGACACTAATGCTCACAACATAACTGACTTCAGCTTCCATCTTTCCTTCTGTTCTCTTATTATGCAGGAAGCACTGTCCCTTTCAATGAAACAGTCTCTCAACTGCACTCTCTCAAGCCAAGAGAAGCACTGCAAGGGCAAGAGTCCAGGTTTTGCAATCACATCATGTTTCTCGAGAATTGACATGCCTTCTAGGCTTCAACTCTTCCCATCAGTATCTGTAATTATTCTCTGCACAATTTCTCAACCGTAGCTTTCCCTGGTATTACAAAAGCATTTGTTCTGTGCTCATCAGCAGAAGGAAGTCTCCTACAGTTCCCAGCCAAGCTTTCCTTTGATTTCATTTTTTTTACTTCTCCCCATCTGCTGGGTGGAACCTTTTTCTGATGGGCAAATTTGATAGAACTGTAATTTAATTTGATTCAGATTTCATTCATAGGCCTGTAATTCTAAAAGAGATATGAGAAGATCCATGTTTCCAAGCAATTCCCCTTTGCAAGTGCTTTTCTAACTTGGTTAAAAAGCAGTCAGAGCAGAAGTCTTATGGCTGTATTATCCTGTCTGAGCATGCAGAATACTGCCTCAGGAGTGCCCAAGAATGTTACAATACCATGTATGGTGGGTCACTGGGGGCTGCTCTAAGCCATCCATCCTGACTAATTTACAAGATGGGTGCAAATAGAGTAGGTAAGAGTGGCAAGGACTAGCTCCCTCCGAGCAGTTTCAATCCAGCAACCGAAAGCAAATACTTTTCATTTTAGCCTGTAGAAGAGAAGCAAGATACAATTAAAAGACCAGCCATGAGCACTGTAAGCACAACATGGGTTTAGAAAGCAATGAGTTGTCAGTGGCTATGGAAAGATGAACAGTAGTATATAGGCTCACCACCCTTCAGTGCAAATGTGACAGGTGGTCGGGACCGGAAGTCCTGCCTCTAGCCCCACCCCTTTCCCTTTGTATGGTGTGTGACATCACCAACCCCACCCCTAACCCCAGTCACGTGGTGCGTGACATCACCAGCCCTGCCCCCAGTCACTTGGTATGTGACATCAGCAACTCCGCCCCACTCCAGTCACATGATATGCAGCATCAGCAACTCTGCCCCCACCCCAGTCACGTGGTATTTTACATCAGCAACTCCACCCCCACACACAGTCACGTGGTATGTGACATCAGCAACTCCACCCGCACATCCAGTCACATGGTGAGTGACATCAGCAACCCCACCCCTAACCCCAGTCACGTGGTGCGTGACATCACCAGCCCTGCCCCCAGTCACTTGGTATGTGACATCAGCAACTCCGCCCCACTCCAGTCACATGATATGCAGCATCAGCAACTCTGCCCCCACCCCAGTCACGTGGTATTTTACATCAGCAACTCCACCCCCACACACAGTCACGTGGTATGTGACATCAGCAACTCCACCCGCACATCCAGTCACATGGTGAGTGACATCAGCAACCCCACCCCTAACCCCAGTCACGTGGTGCGTGACATCACCAGCCCTGCCCCCAGTCACTTGGTATGTGACATCAGCAACTCCGCCCCACTCCAGTCACATGATATGCAGCATCAGCAACTCTGCCCCCACCCCAGTCACGTGGTATTTTACATCAGCAACTCCACCCCCACACACAGTCACGTGGTATGTGACATCAGCAACTCCACCCGCACATCCAGTCACATGGTGAGTGACATCAGCAACCCCACCCCAACCCCCAGTCACGTGGTGTGTGACACCAGCACCACATAGTCCATGACATCAGAAGGACAGCCCATGCAGACCCCCAAAGCCCAACCACTCAGGCTGCAAGAACCACCCTAGATCACAAGGTGTAGTTATGGCCTATCAGGTCCCAGACTGATTTAGCCCCCTGCCGGAGCACAGGTGTGATCTATGGGGTGGCAGGGTGGTGTTGTGACCCCTCTAACAACCCGCCCCACCACCCCCAACCAATTGGCAGAGGTTTCAGAGGCCTCAGACCTCCCAAGAATGATGCTGAACCAATTGGAATGAGTAGAGGGGGTGGGATTTGGGCGGCAACCCCGCCAGGTCTATCTGCTTTCCCAAACGACCTCTCTATTTATCTGAGACCGTGCTAAAGCAAGCAGGGGCGGGTATGGATTCTTTCACAATGCCTGTAGGCCCACTCACTACAGCCCCAAGACAGCCTTATAGAAAGCATTACCGTAGAAATAGTTTTGAGGAGGAGACATGGCCCCTTGCCCAAAGACTCTTTGAGACTCCTGACCCTGTTCAGGAAGATCCAATGAACAGGCAAATGGAGGAGGCCCAGACCCTCAAAGCAGACGTTGAGAATTTGGAAGAGGGTATCTTTGTGCCGTGGTTTAAATTTGTCCTCAAGTGTTTGAATGCACCACACAGGTGTTAGTGTTGGGGGGTGGGTATTGGGGGAAGCGGTTACCAGACAAGTCTACACAGGAGCTATGTTAAAGGAAGTTTATTATTCTCCTGGTGAAGCTGGCAGTTTTGGCAGGGTGAACACACTTTTTGAAGCCATCAAAAGGCAGAATAAGGTTCTGAACAGAAGTGGGGTGGCCGCTTGGCTTTCAGATCAGGATGCTTACACCCTACACAAACTGGCAAGAAGACGTTTTAAAAGAAGAAAGGCTTGTTTCAGATATTGATGTGCAATGGCAGGCAGATTTGGTGGATATGCATCAGTTTTCCAAGAACAACGGTGGGGTTAAGCTCATCTTAACAGCGATAGACATATTATCAAAGTATGCCTGGGCCGTAGGTCTAAGACAAGTCAGGTGGTGAAATAGCTTGGGCCTTTAAAATCATTTTTACGGAGGGCCGTGTACCTCGAAAATTAAAGACTGATTGGGGAAAAGAATTTTTAAATAAGTCTTTAAGCAAGCTGTTAAAACAGTATAATATTCACCATTTCATGACGAATAGTGAAGTGAAAGCAGTGGTGGTAGAGAACTTTAACAGAACATTAAAATCATAGATGTGAAAGTATTTTACAGCCCACAACACCTTTCGCTACATTGATGTGTTACCAGAACTTATAAAGAGCTACAACCACAGTTTTCACAGAACTATCCACACCAGGCCTGTTGACGTGAACTTCTCAAACTCTCAAAGGGTGTGGAAAATTGTGTACGGGGACTATTTCAAAATAAAACCAGCAGCACCCGTGTTTAGAAAAGGAGACCACGTGAGAGTCTCTAGGACCAAAGGGAGGTTTGAAAAAGGTTATGAACAAACATTTACCAATGAGATTTTCATAGTGGATGAAGTCCTTAGACGCATGCAGACGCCTGTATACCACCTAAAAGATTATGAAGACGAAACTATCGAGGGTTCTTTCTACCTTGAAGAACTACAAAAAGTGAACCCCAAACAGGACAGAGTTTACAGGGTTGAAAAAGTTCTAGCAATGAAAGGAAAGGGAAGAAAGAAGTGCTTGTTGGTGAAATGGTTGGGGCAGCTGTCTAAATTTAACAGCTGTGTGGAAGCTAACCAAGTTTGTAACATATAGGGGTACCTCAGACAGAAGACCAAGATGTGTGATGGCGACTTTTACATTACTTTGCCCAGCAACGCATGCGCCAGCATTTTTCTGCAGAACACCAGCTCAAGCTTTACCATACAACTGGTTAAACTTCTGGATCTGCTGGGGAACTGGGAGATAGGGTTAGCACGAATACAATACCCGCACAGCTGGAACAATATCAATGAAGACATACCTTTCAAAATCATTTCTGGGACTAAAAAATGGGGGTACAGCCTGCCTCAGGGGTATTATACAACCATCACAGAATTACTGGATCTTATAAACAATACAATTACCACCATTCCTGTCCACCCTAACTAGTTATGCACCATGACCAAGCATTCAGGAAAGTGAGACTTAAATCCAAAGATAACTCTTATGGTTTTTATACACATGGTGAGCTAGCCTATATTTTGGGAATGCTACCTGGAGTCTCTGCTAAAAAAACACCCTTCCTTGCTGATGTTACTGGTGGGTTCAATTTGCTGTATGTCTACACGGACATTGTGGAACATCAGCTTGTCGGGGAGTTTTCGGTACCTTTGCTACGCTGCGTCCCTATCCGTGGGGCCAACAACGAGTTTGTCACCATCACATATGACAACCCACATTATGTCCCCATCAGCCAGCACTACATCGACAAAATCAGCATTGAAATAAAGACGGATCAGAACAAACACGTCTCATTTCACTTTGGTAAGGTGATCGTTAAGCTTCAACTATGCCCCCAGAAGACTTTGAGATTTTAAAATAAGTAAAAGCACAATTATGATGGTAAAAAACTATGGGGATCCTAATTTGTACAGAAATTATTATAAAGCCCAGGCTGGGTATGGTCTTCCTGGATATCAGGGGGTGCCCGTGATGTATGGGGCTAGTGTGGGTGGCATATTTTGCAGCCTCTTTAGAAAAGCCATTCCACTTTTGAGAAGGGGTCTGGAGATTATTAAGCCCCATGCTAAAAATGCGGCACAAAACATAGCCAAAGATGTGATTGGTCATGTCGCCTGAGCTGTTCTAGATAAGGTGGTCAAGCTGGCAAAGCAGGAGGGGTCCAGTCTCATGTATATTCAAAGAAAGAGCCTTAAAAGAAAGAGAGACGCTACAGACTCTGGACGTGCAGGACCTCCTCAACCCCTTAAAAAGAAGAGGGTAAATCAACGGGGCAGCCAGACATGAAAAACCAAGCAGCAGCCTGTGAGAAAGAAGGTGTGCTCTCCTGGAGGAAACAGAAATATATTTTAACCACCATGGCCTTTGTTCACTGTGGGTTGAAGAATGCGTCAAATCTGAACTGGATGTGTTTCAAATAGCCCCTACCCAGACCTGCATTGAGAAAAGCCTGTATGTTGAGATCCCCCGGCTCTCAGCTATTACCAAATCCAGCCCCCTTGATGTTTTCATACCTGGGAATGGCAAAGATTACATGGATTTGAACAATACGCTGCTGTACCTTTGCTGCAAGATTGTAAAAGGCAATGGAACTGATCTTGATGCGGGGGCAGCGGTGGGTTTGGTGAATTTCCCACTAGCCTCTGTCTTCAGTCAGCTGGATGTCATTCTGGGAGATGGTCTGATAAGTCAGAACAACAACTGTTACCCCTACCGAGCTTTCATTGAATCGGTTCTCAACTACAGCAATGACACCCTCGCCACACAATTTTCTGCCAGCCTGTTTTACAAAGATACCCAAGGCCATCATGAAATGGTTGCACAGGATGGTGATAATCAGGGGTTTCGGAGATGGGCAAACCTGACAGACCGAAGCAAAAAGATAGAGCTGCTTGGTCATCTCCATAGTGATTTGTTTTTTCAAGAAAAACAGTTGCTGAATGGCATGGATGTGAAAATTAAGCTGACACGCAGCAAAGATGCCTTCTGCTTGATGGGTACTACAGCGGCTGGTCCCTGTAAACTAAAAATCACATCTGCCTCACTTTCTATGAAAAAAGTGAAGGTAGCACCGGGCATCCAACTGGGCCACATGGAGGCCTTGCTTATGGCCAATGCTAAATACCCCATAGACCGCATGGGTATGAAAGTGTTTAGCATTCCTGCTGGCAGCTGCGTTAGCAACCAGGAGAATCTGTTTCTGGGGCAGTTGCTCAAACTCATCGTCATCTGGTTCGTGGATAACGATGCCTTTAGCAGGAATTATGCTAAGAACCCCTTTAACTTTAAACATTACAATATTAATTTTGTGGGCCTCTACGTCGATGGAGAAAAAACCCCAACAAAGCCCCTACAACCAGATTTTAAGAATGGTAAGTGCGCGACAAAATACATGCAGCTGGTACAGGCAGCTGGTAAACATACGAAAGACCGGGCCCTGGTAATCAACCATGAGGAGTTTGCTCTGGGGTACACCTTATTTGCCTTTGACCTGTCCCCTGACCAGGAGTGTGCTGATCATTATTCGCTGATTAAAACTGGGAACCTGAAAGCAGAAATAGGCTTTGCTGCAGCTTTGCCCACCACGGTTAACAAGATTGTGTATGGGGTCTTTGACAATGTCATAGAAATAAATCAGAGGAGAAATGTCCTTTTTTGACTATATGTGAAGATGGAGACCGAACAGCTTGTCAGGGTTTTATCCTCAGACCCTTATGCCAAAGAAACTTTCTTAGATGTTTTCCCCTGTGACTGGCTTCCTAAGACTCGACTGTCTAAAAGGCCCCTGAGCTTGGCGGTCAACATGCACCCACGTAATCAACCTGGAGAACACTGGTTGGGTGTTTACTTGGAGGATCGGAGAATTTTTCGACTCGTACAGTCATGCCCCAACAGCGCTCTCTTTCCTAAAAGCATTATGTTGTTTTTAAACAAGAACGCTACCGACACTGTTTTTCAGATGAAACAGTTACAAGACCCCCAGATACCATTGTGTGTTTTTCCTACAGCACCGTAGCAAGGGGCTATCGTTTGAACAGATTTTAAAATTGTACTATTCCGACGATTTAGCACAAAATGATAGGGTAGTGATGCATTTTGTAAAAAGTAAATATAAAAATTTCCCTGTGGCCAGGCCTGCTCAAAACATGTTTCGACATGCCCAGACATGTATTTCTTGCTATGACTTTCATGAATACTTTGTCTAAATAAAACACTCAGCTGATGTTGTGTAAATAAAGCTGTTGTTACTTAAATGTGCGTGTGTGTTTTCATTCAAAAAATCCTCTGTAGACAAAAATTTTATAGCAGTATAGAATAGTTTATTTCAAAGCACAAAACTTTACCTGGAGAGCCAATGGCTTTTAGAAAGTTTTTCGCTTCTTAGGTGGTGTTCTTGGTATTTCTTGGTCTGAGTCAGATACTTTCAGTCATTCCAGATGATCACGATTCACGACGTTGCCCATAACAGAAAATGGTACATTCAGCTCAGCCATGGTTTTCATAAAGATGTCCCAGCCTTTAGGTGGGTGTTTAGTAGTCCCAGTGTGAGTCTGAAGGGTTCTCCGGACCAAGTCGAGCATGTTAGACCCCTTGACAAGCATCCCTTTGTAGACGAAACCCCCTTGGTCATCCCGAGAAATATCCTTGTGCTGGCTCAGCTTAGTGAGCAGTATTTTAGCATTTTTCCTGTATTGGGCATGCACGTTATCCAATACTTCCTGAACAACTGTGTCAGTTTTTGTGGGGGTTTCTAGGGGGTATCCAGCTTCTAGGGGGGTCTGTTCCAGCAGAAATAGAGTTAATTTCCCTCTGTCCAGATCAACCTGCTTTACGTAGGTCAGGTATTTCTGAAGCATGGATACATACAGTTTAGCCTTATCATATTCTGCTAAACCCGGTCTTTGCAGAATATCCCTCATTTCAACATCCAATAAGCGGGTTGCCTTGGTTCTGATATTTTCCTGAGGCGGTGGGGGAGCCCTTAATTGTTCCAGCTCATGTTTGGGCACCAGGTACATTTTTTCTGCGTGCTCCATCACCAGCTAGCCAAAAGCCCCATAATCAGAGGAAGACCAAAACTTAGCAGAGGTCCGATAAATCCCCCAGACTTTTTCACCAGCTGTTTCTTTTTTTAAAGAGGTAATCTTTTGTTACTTAGGTTTTTTATGATCCCACGTCTCTTTTTCGGCACGCAAATTTGATGCGGTGTCAAAGGGATGTTTTAATCACTTCTACCCCAGATGCTTTTAGATTAAGAACAGGGCTTTTTCCTCCTGACCAACCAGCTGCTTACACTTTTAAAAAAACAGCGGGTGGGAATAAAAAGAGATGATGTAGCAGCTGCCTCTTCTTAGCTCTCTAGATGGTGGAAGGAGAACATGTCTAGCCATGTAAAAAGAAATTTGGTTCTCTTAAAACTGCTTCTTCAATCCACCCCAAAGCAGAGAAAAGCTATACTCTGCTCGGCCTCTGATGATTTAGTAGTGGCCATTTCAGAAATTGCTCTGAACACCTTAAAAGGAATCAACCACCAGATACACGTAAGGTGTTTTAGTGGCATCCTCAAAAGCTTCTAGAAAGAACTGGGTCTTACCTGGGTACATCTGCCATGCCAGGGACACTATCTGTAGCTTACCCCTGGGGTTTTTAAAGAAAACCATGTATTTTGTGTTAAGGGCAATGGTGTGGCTCCTTTTCCCTTGACAGAAAACATTTTGAACTATATACATAATGCTCAGATTCCGATGGTGCACGTACTTGGTAAAGGCTTTCTCGATTTAGCCTCTGTCACAGGCAGAGTCCATCAAATCATTTACTACAACCATATTTATTTTATTAGGAGGAAACAAAGAGTCATTGTTGAGACTGCCCGGTAGACCTTCCACAAACTTGATAAAAGGATATTTATAAAGCAGTTCTTTATACAAAGGCTGCCAACAGCTATAGCACCACACAATATTCTCAGGCATAACAGACAACATTTTATCAGCGTGATCCAAAAGGTTTTTTATAAAGTAAGTTTTACCACAGTTGCTAGGGCCTGCCAAAAATCACAGAAAAGGGGTGCTTCCAATGCATATCCATCTTTAAAAACCATAGGAGAGGCTGTTAAAGTTTTCTGTGAGGACCCTTTTGTCATAAAAGACTTTCTGCATTTTTCTCAAGGTTTTGGTTTCTATCGTCCACTTGCTTTTGTTCCTGACAATACAGCGCTGTTGTATCACAATTGTTCATATAACTCTAAGTGTGCATAAGCGGTGGTGAAACAGGCTATAAAGATGTTTGTGTTACCAGAGACCGTGTAATGCTCTTTGGTGTACTTCCAAGACACACAGGCTGCCTCATCATCAATAAAGTCACAAGATTAAATTTCATAGGTGGGAGAAATGAAGTAGCCAAAGAGTTCTTTGGGGTCTTTAACGATGCTGGTGTTGGGCAAGTTGGTTCTCTCACCAAATTTATCCCGCAAAGAATTTAGAAACAATTTTGCTATTTGGTGCTTTGCAGGATTGGGTTTGATATGCTCTTGGCGTAAGGTTACACCTTTTTTGCAAGAAATTGGCCACATATCTCTCTTGTTTTTCTTGGT